AGAAAAACTAGGGTAGTGTCCTTGGAAACAGGAGTGGACACACACACACACACAAACCACGGCTCATGGACAAATCCAGAAGTGTGAATCACATGTGGAAGAGCATCTTCCGTCCAGCCACAACCATCTACTCTCAATGGGTTAAGGATGTGTCCACGTGAAAGCCTTGGGGCTCCGGCGCTGTTCAGGAGGAGCTCCACAAAACGATTCACCTACAAATCAGTTGGCCAATGTCGCATCAAGATTGGATGGGTTCCTGTGGCGCGCCTCCTCCACGCCTTTGAAAACACGGAATAACCGCAGCAAGCGCAGCAGTCGCAAGGTACGAAGGACCTTCGATCCAGTTGCGGAAATGTAGCAATCCGTCAGTCCAAGCAAGAAATATGAGTCTGGCCCAGCCTTCATTTTTTGCATGGCAGCACCTGTCATGAGCACCCTTCATCTGCCATGTGAACTCCTTCTGAGCCATGAGACATTGTTCTTTCTTCATATCGCAGCCAGCTCACAGCAGGTGAAATCGATGTTGTGTCTCAGAACATGCCGGGCAGCTCCATTTGGCGCCTGCCCATTGGCTGTTGCGGCCGCTTGCTGCGTCATTACCTGGCCACGTTGGTTCGCCAAACTCCTCCTTCCCGATGAGCTCGAAAAAGCTCCGAGGCTCTGGCCATACTAAAGAGGGAGATGGCTACCACCTGACAAGAAATCTTCTTTTCTGTGGGAAGGGCTGGAGTTGAGAACTTCTGATATGAGGGACTGGACCGAGCTTCGATAAAGCCCACCCGGCAAGACTTCAGGTGTCAGGAAGCGTAGTTAATGATGGTTAATGCCGAGAAGTGAACTGTTCATAGTGCGACCATAAGAACATTGATCTGTACTCAGCCAAATTCTTCTTGCAAAGCGGCCAAAGCATCAAAGAAGTTCCAATTCTTGTCATCTTCGACAAAAAAGAGATAGCCTGCATGTAAGGTCAAAAAGAACAAGCAGTGAATAACAGTTGCAAGTCCGAATGGTCACAGCGACAGATCGTTAGCTCGTTGTGCAAGATGACTGTCGTGCCCTACGAAAGCCGGCCTTTTTCAAAGATCCTCACCTCAACTCAGAGAGCCAAATCATGCCAAAACGGAGAGACTTCCAAGACAAGCCAGGAACAAGAATAGTAGTTCCTGGCGTCGCTACTAGGAACCCGGGCATCGCTACCAGGAGAAAGGACGCTACTAGTAGCGTTAGTTGTTCCGAGTAAGGCCAGGGCCAGTAGCTCGACTGTGAACAACACAGTAGTTGTGTCGTCAGCTCGCTTCCAGATCCTGACATGCCGCAAGAATCACAAGCAAACAAGAGGCATATTTACTCAACAATTTGCGTGTATAGCGTTTTGGGATAAGGAGCTACATAAGGAGCGTGATGCTTAAAGTGCTTGCTTGGTTAAGTTTCCCTTAAAAATCTAGGAACCAAATCATTAGTGCGAGCGCTTCCTTGAAAAGCATGAGCTATCCTGCATCCTAGCTAGAATCTAGAAGCAAACTTGTCCCTTAATTAAGTAGGCGCCTTCTTAATTAAGTAAGGGCGGGCTCATCACATGTCGGGCCCACCATGCTGGTCCCAAGTGCAAAGACTGGCAAGCCATGATCACAGTTGAGGCACCTCGACCGGATTCTTAAAAAAAGGCAACCATATGCAGTGGGCCAAGGAATCTGGTGGCAGGTTCAATCAATCAACCTGGCACAGCTTGAGGCAAGCGCCGATCAAGGCATATCCGAAGTTGGTCCACCTGCCAAACCACGATTCTGAAGAATAACAAAAACTCACAGCATCACCAAAGGCCAGCCTAGCACCGTGGACATTTAGGCAAGTTGGCTGGTACAGGGCCTGCGCAAGATTTTGAGCTCGCAAAACGAATCGCCGAAAAAGGAGGGTAAGCCCTACAAAATCAAGCGTATCCCTTTAAAGTGACACCACACGATCCTCAGCTACGCCATCAAATCAGAGATTCCGGGCTTTACCCTGAATGCAAGCCACCACAAGGTCAACAAGAACCCGAGGAGCTTCTGCCCAGGTGGCGGCGGTCTTGGACAAATGCCAACTCTGAAATAGCATAATATCCCAAAGGGCCGGCCGTCAAACGGCCCGCAGAATGCCCGAGATGCACGGAGACGCCCCATCCAACTCTGGAAGAGATGCTTGTGCTCTGCCTCACTCTGATCCTCCTCAGTGGCCATGCACCTCTCAAGGACCTCAGACTTCAAAAAGATTCATGCCATCAGTCCCGCTCCCGCCATCCCTGGCCTAGCGGCCTAGAAGTTCCTTGGAACAGCCGTAAACATGCCCCTCACTGGACATACAGGTTCCAACACTTTCACCGGTGAACAGAACCAAAACATATTGTATAGACAATGTAGATCAAAAGCCCTCTCAAGACATCACCGACGTCTCTGCTTAGCTTCCGCAGAAAACAAAGAGAAAGGAGGTTCGAACCCATGGACCAAATGGTTTCCTGGAGCACAACGTGTTCGTGGCATGTCACAAGCAAGCTGCATTTACAATGTTCCGGGCAATGCCCCACTAAAGGAAAAAGATCTCTGATAGAAAGCCAACGCCACCTTTGGTGACAAAATGAAGAGCCTACCTTGGTAGGATGCTAGACAACCGGCTTGGCTGGTGTTTTGATCGAGGAGGCAGTGCGCTGTGCCCTCAGCCAAGGCACGGTTTCATGCGAAGGCCCACAATGTTGGAGTGACCAATCAGTTGGGGCACACTGCCCAAGAAGCTCTCTACACTTTCTGGTCTTGCTTGCGAGGCCAAAAATGTATTTTATGAATGCGTAAAGCACCTGAATCAACTCATACGAGAATCCCGGCCCGTCGGTATTGATCTACAGCTTGTGGAGTGATCTTAACAAGTTTCTTTTCTTCTCTCCATGTCTCTGCTTGGCCACTGCTCAAGCATGATGAATGATAACTGCTGGAAACAATTCTGTAGAGCCGTGTCGGCTGATAGTCAATGTATACTAATACGGGACGACTTGACCTCTCCTTGTGTTCTTGAGTCTTGCAGCAGATCAGTTATGGACATTAATGGACGTGCAAACAAGAAACCTTCTCTCAACATCTCTCAACCTGAAGCTGGTCTATTCTGGATGTTGCCAAAAAATGCAGATGTGTATATAAAATGTAGACGACACATGAGATAAATAGACCAAATGTGCTTGCTATTCTAGGGATCAGAACAAGCTGTTGTGTAGTGGCATGTGCTTGACTAGTCTAGTATCAGCATACGCATACTATGCTCCGCTTCTGCATCAAGTCAACTGGAATGTCTTTCTCCACACCTGGCATTGTAAACTCATTCATGGATGAAGGAACGGTGGCATGCAGCAACTAATTGACACGAGTGAGTTCCAGTTGCCAAGGAAAAAGCGCAAACAGTTCAGTGTTCTGTGCGTTTGTGTGTGTGTGTGTCGGCCACCGACTGCAACAGTGCTGCCAATTGACTCCTTGAGAACTGGATCCACTCGAGGCAAGAAAACAGTACAAATCTGCTGGAGCCTTTGAAGAAATAATCCTCAAACCAAGGTACACACCGTACACACCCCGACCCCGATGAAAGTTCAATTTCATGATGTCATCCCAAGTTCAGTAAACTTGGAAGCCGGCTGATTCCTAGAAGAAGCATGTTGACCTACAAATGGGTCATGGGCTCTACAGCAGATTCCCTTTTCCTCTCAAGTTCCCCAGATCAGTCAGAGTGTCTTGATCCTGAATGGAAACTGGAGATTTGTGCTTCTGGTGGCCCACAGAAAGGGAACTTCTATGAAGCTTTCGGATATATACAACGCTTTGCAGTCCACAGCATTCCTCAGTGCCAGGGTTGAGCAGGTGCGCTCCATGGAGTTCCTGGTGCAGGGGCAGGTGCAAAGCTCCACGCAGGAAGAGAGGAACAAGTATCCCGTTCGGTGACACCATGTTCGAAGAAAGAGCATGGTGTGAGGCCCTTCGCGTCCCATCAATCTTCATATCCGCAGAATTCACTTTCACTAGCACAGATCCAGATAGCAGTTGTTCTTCCCTTCTCCTTTGGGCAGTTTCCAGGTGTCGGCTGTCAGCCACAGGTCCAATGATGGATGTTTCGAGAAGAACGTGTGCAATCGACAGTGGAGCGATGGTAGTTCACACCACGTGCGCTGACCGTCTATGGGCACCCAACAGCAGTGTGGGCCCCAGGTGGACAGCAACGTGTTTTGTCCCACGTTTGGGGATAATTGTTCCTAATAGCTTCTTGTTACTAGTAGTAAGGCCAGGAGCCCCTAGTAGCGTCCTTGCTCCTAGTAGCGATGCCCTTTGCTCCTAGTAGCGTCCTTGCTCCTACCAGCCAGAGCTCTTCAGACGTAAAAACCAGATTTTCGGGAAGAATCTCTGAACATCTATCGACTTTATGTTGCATCCGACGTTGTCAAACCCTGAGGGGAAAAAAATTCCCGACAGCACTTGGCACTTCAAGTCTCCTCAGCGGCCATCTTTGGGTCGAGCCCACATTGCCCTCACTGGCTTCCCCTCAATGCTCAGGCCGCGAGCCTTCAAGGAGCAAGGATGACAAAATGGTGAAACAGTGAACTGTCAAAACAACCTTTTGGTAAACTGTGCCAGTCAAGTAGGAGAATGCACTCTTGTCATTTTCAAGAGTGAAAGAGTTGAAATTGCATACATTCGACTGGAATGCCCGGGCATGGCCTGTTTTAAACAAGAGTTACCAGTGTTTGAGAGTTTTCATGCTTCCAATTTGGAGGCGATACCTTGAAAATGAATGTTGTTCAATACCGCTTGACAAAAGCGCATACAATCATGGAAAACAACGACGTGTAAACTATGTAAACCATCTCCGGATCGTAGAAGGTCCAAATAAATATCGTGGCCATGCGGCCATTCGTGGCCTGTTCCACCAGCCACTTGGCATCTGCATAGTTCCTCAGCCGTACCATGCAGCTGCCATCGTTCTCCTGGCCCCGGCGCCCATGCCGAACGCCGAGGCCACCCTCTGCGCCGCCTGAGACAACAGGCGACCATGTCGGACCAAGTTGACATTGGTTTTTGTCAAAAACAACGGTGCACCAAGCAAGTGGCTGGGCATCGTTCTGAACGGGAGCCCCCACCCTAAGGGAGCTCTACAATACAGTACCAAGTTGTCAAAGTCCATCTTGTGACCAAGGCTCGTGATAAGATGTGAGGAGTGGACACATGGCGAGAGCAAAATCAACTCTTTTGTGAAGGACATGGCAATGGTTCGACATTCGACATCTTTCAGTGGTCTATCTGTGGTATGCTTTCAAACCGGCCCCCAGCTGATTGGTCATTACTACATTCCTTCACTTCAGACATGGATGACAAGGTTCGTGAAAGTATAAATTGTACATGTAATATGTTGGGCAGCTAGTTCAAAAAACCAAACACCGGATCGCCTAATCCCTACCCTTACAGCCACTTACAGCCGCTTCCTCTTTCAGCCCTCCTGAGCCGAAGTTGCCTACAAATACTATGCTACTGCTTGAACACTGCAAATCATTCTACAAACACAAATGAAAGCATCAACTCAATTGGAATTGACGCGAACGCTCGAAATCAAGCAAGAAAAACATTCTCCCCAGTGTCCATCACCTCTTCTTTTCACGTTTCTCCACACTTCCTGGGAGATGCCTCGCCACTTTTCTCAGTCAGCTCTTTGTAAGTAAGTCGCTCGACTCTTGCACTTTGGGAAGACCACAGATTGCGCAGCCCCAGTCATTCAAATCTGAGGGGCTTTGAGGGAGAGCGAACTCCTTCTTGGACACGCTGAAGCGCTTCCGTTCTGGATGCTTTTTAGAATCCTCTGTGTATGTCGTCGGCTCCCATTCATCTGCCTCACGCTGGGCGTGATCCCGAAGCCTCTTTGAGGAATCATTCATCGCACCATCGCCTGGTGATGCGCCTGCGCACGCCGCACTGGTTCGCACGAACCATGATTGTATGGGCTGCCTCAAGCTCGTCTGGAGTGACAGATGAGGCCTGATCACAAGCTATTGCAAGCACGTGAAGCGGCTCGCTGAGATCTGAACTAAAGGCTGAAACAAATTCAATCATACTTGGAACTCAGCACACAAGCTTGACTCTTTCGCGACATTTCGGGGTCTTGACGGTCGAGATACGAACATTCATTCTCGAACTGATCGAGCACCCTTTCTCGCTCGATTCTGGACCCACAATGACCTCAAACAGGTGGACCGACCAGTCTCTGTCAAGCCTCATGGTCACACTCACAACGTCATACACAATGCTCACGCGTTTCACCTGCTGATTTACCTGCCAGCCTGGCAGAAACTTGGCACCCTACCCTACTCTATGGTTGAAACCTTGAAACTTTTCAAGAAGCTACTTACAGCGGCCTACAGCGAGGGATGCGAAGATTATTGCCAAGCCCACACCTCACGCGGACCATGCAGCTCACTTGAAAGCTCCGGGCTCCCACGCAAAGGCGCACAGACTCCATTAATCAGGACAAATGCTGCGTGTGAACCTGCTGTGTACATTCTGGGGCTAAAGAACTGTGGGTTTGCTGGTTCGACGCATGACCCCCAAGCAAAGGATGAGTTTCATGTCCTCACAGGAAAATGACGAGACCAGTTAACTTGAGGAGTGGTTGGTGGCTGTCTGGGTCACCAAGCTCATAGCCCACACATTGGCTTTGCACAAGGTCAAAGAACCATTCTGGAATGGAGGGCACCTCCGCAAACCAGTTCTCATTGGATGTTGAGCGACGCCCTTTCACCACGCTTCACTTGCTTCTGAATTTGTCGCGCGCAAACGCCCACTTGCGCCCTTGCCCGCCTTTGATTCTGAAGCTGCGGCACTGCTGACAATTTGCGCCAGTTCAACCTGCGCCAACCTTTTCAGTTTTTGCACTCCGAACAGCACACGCGCAACTCAGGACACTCCTCCCCCACCTGTTCATCCGCTGATCTTTGAACATCTGGGTTGAGGAAATTCTAACCCTCCATGCTGTCAAAGGACAAACAAGTTGCTCTTCTTTGTTCTCCGTCATTGCTGCAATTGCTGCGAAACGAGGTAGCGAGAACAATTCTGCTGAGAGACAGGCGCTCTTCCTTTCTGCCAGGACCCTGTCTGGGCCAAAAGACACCTCTGCCCTCAGAAAGACTTCTGCTTCTACCGTCTACCTCTTGCTCACAGGTGAAAGCCTCTTCCTCGTCCAGTGCATTGAAAATGAACTGTCGGGCGCGCGCTGCTACTTCTTTTTGCAGCGGTCTGGAGTCTAGACTCATTGCCTTCCACACACTGGCAAGTGCTGCGACTCAAAGGAAGCGCGGCACTCCCTTGCATGATCGCTGCGTCAATTGCACCCGGACGACCGCGAATCATCCCTGGAATGCCCGTGGCCAAACCGAAGCAAGTTCTGCTGCGCTCTGCATGAAGGCATGCATGAACTGATTGGGACTCCCTTGCCCAAACATTCCACTGCAACCACCATGACCCCAAAAGCAAGCAACGTCACTTCCTCTGCCGGAGCAACGCCTGGACCCTGCAGACATTTTCTGCAACCGGACAGTCTCTGAGAATATTGATTGAGTCTCCTCCGTTTTTGCAGCTTCACAATTTCGGTTTGATGTTCTTTCCACGGCCCATGAAACACCTTCTTCCTCAATACCTCGACAGCTCCGGCGCCGCCGCCAGCTTCTGTCACGCACTCAGCCAGAAGCGGAGCGGGCGGCATACGGCTCTCGTCGTTGTGCTTTGAGCGTGGGAAAACAAGCGCGCACTGCGGCAGCAACCACCTCAAACATCAACTCCCAGTATCTCCTTTCTGTAATGATTGCTTGCTGGTCACCTACTTTTCTCCTGCGTTTGGAAAAGGCCAAATTCATTTGGCGCCGTTTTCTTCCTTCAACCTGTCCAGGGTCAGATGTTCGGCAGCCTCCAGAGCCAAGCCATCCAACAAGCAAAGTACAAAGGGGCCACGATGAGTCAACGCTGAACCTCCGTCGGCTTCCGCCGTTCGATGCCACCGCGCTGCTTGATCTACCTTCCTACCTGGCACCTAAGACTGCACAAATTTCCAGATGCCCTCCCCGTCAGTGGGGAGGGCTCCGCTACCAAGTAGAAAGCGAGGTCAAAAGACCAAACACCGGATCGCCTGATCCCTACCCCAACGGCCGCTTCCTTTTTCAGCCCTGAGCCACGAAGTTGCCTGCGAACGCACGATGCTTATGTGTTGTTGCTGCTCTGCTAGACGCAGTGCTTGAACATACACCCAGGAAGGAAGGGGACGAAAGCCAGCCCCTGTAGGGATTGAGAAATCAATAATATGCGATTGTTGTTTTCGGGTCAAGTCGAAGCTGCACTTACTTGTTACGTTTTTTAGCCAAGGGAAAGCAGAAGGCAGGGATACGCAAAGCTTCACATTGAGGCTCGATATGCTAGAGCCTTTCTACACCAGGCCTTTACAAACCCCCATCCACTGTTACTGATCGTGGGATTGGACCCCATGCTCTTGTAGGGGGTGCCTCTTTTCTTCTGGCTTAGGCCCTTTTCACGCTAAAAAGGGCACCCCCAAGTAACTATTCCAGGAGGACTATTGCATTCAACCTTGCCAATCAATCTGCTTACATAAAAAAGCTAGGTCAGGCACCATGACTGTAACCAGTGATTTCAACTCAGCTACTAGACCAGTGAAAGTCAAGCGCTCCTTTCCTATCCTATCATTCTTAAAACAATGCAGTGATCGTCCAACCTCCTGTCCCCTACCTGGAATCACACACGACTCACACACCTGGTCGGCAAACAATCTAATGGTGTCCTGAGCACTTTGTGGTGCTCTTCAGTGTCACTTGCATCACTCGCATCACCAAAACCCCTAAAAACATACATCTTCACTTCTGCGCCGCCTCTTCTTTTCGGTCTTCCCCACCAGGCTCTGAGTTCACCCTGCCCGGCGGGTGCCACCCTCCTGCCACCCCCCCACACACACACCCTATGACTCACTGCGTTTGCCCATGAAGGACTCAGCCATGCCTATCGGCTCGCTTTCGTAAATATCATATATATATATATGTATATATATATATATACATATGATGAGGGATGGTCCAATGAACTGTTCGCAACCGTTCCCCAAAAGGACTTGGGCGTTTGATAAGCAATCATGTGAGGTTGGGAGGCATATAAATCCCCAGCCATGTCTCATGCTGGGCCGCCAGACGGTGAAGCTGGGTGTCCGGGTCAAACTTTAAACCTAAGAAGCTCACGGCATACCCACAATGTGGGCTGACGCCTTCGGGAAGATCTTCGTATACTTGTTTCAAGGTTGTGTCAAACATGTAATGTAGAACAATGAGTGTGTTGACATAAGAAGAGGAAAAGGTAAGGCAAAGATTGAAAGCTGGGCAACTAGTTCAATGAATCGCGACGGCAAAATGTTCTTCGCTTAATCAGCAGCATATCCTGCGCCCGTCCAGTTTGGCTCCTAAATGATTTCACTAGCCTAAACCACAAACATTGATGCAATAAGATTGTGCGTTGCGCAAGCAATAGGAACCGATGGGGGAATCAATTCCGAATGATTTGACGGGAGCTACGTACAAATAAGAAATGCCTCTCGACGCGTTCTTCTGAGGCAAAGCGTTGGACACAAAGACAGTGCATCCGCCACTCAAAGAGAACACTTCTTTGGCTGATTCACTGCCCCAAATTCATCAGCGTGACATACAATGAGACTCACAAAAATGAGAGGCCGAAGGAAACGATTCAATGGAGAAAGTCAAGAGTAAACTGCTTGGGGAAGTACAGAGAAGCACTATTACTCGAGGAGGTGAGCACCCTCAATCACTTCTTGGCAAAAAGGCAGGAAGAACATGACTGCCTCTGAAGGAACTTTGGTGAAGAATTATGGAACCAGTCAAGAAAGTATGACTTTCCGAAAGGACTGAAAGGACGTCACCTTTTTGGTTGCTTCATTTCGACCATTTCCACATGCTGCGGCCACTTGGCATCCGACCATCCCGCTGCCAGAGGCGCCGGAGCAAGTCCAGCACCTCGGCTTGGTCTCCGGACCCCGAGCAATTGGTTTAGGAAGCTCAGGTTTAATAGGGTCCCCAAATAGATAGAAACGGTTTCCAACACATTTTTAGTGGGGACCTAGTTACTTTTCTATCTATTTCGGGGTATATAATCGAAGGTTCCTTTTTTTGGAGGGTCCCAAAGGGGGGTCTCCCTGGTCTGACACAAAAATCCAGGCACATCTTCTCGTGCCTGGAGTTCTGGGTGGTTTGGGAGGGCATCTTCGGCGTATTTGGATAATGGAAAACGGACATCCATGTTGTCGACTCATACACCTGAAAAGAGGCATTTAGATCCACTCTTTAATCATCACTCCAAAGCCGACACTTGTACTATGCTTGCTTCACGTAGATTCCAAGATCTTGACCTCACTTCTCACCATGTGCCTCAGCACCACGGTCATGCTCAACATGTCAGGTGATTTCTTCTCTCACACATGCTACTAGGTGCAAGGACGCTACTAGGGGCTCCTGGCCT